CTCCTTTGTCATGCGCAACCTTCTGCTGTAGATTACCCAAGTCGCTCATGTATTTGAAATGGAGACCCATATCGGTCGCAAGTATGTTGTTGATCATAAGTTTGCGCATCGCAGCATCAGCGAACGCTCTTGGCCAGTAGCGGCGTAATATCTGAGAATAGGCAGCGCAGTGGAAGGATTCTAGGACGGAGCGGTCGTTGTAGAGTTGAGCGAGTGGTGCGTTCAATGCGACGAGGAAAGCGTTGTTGACTCCTGGATGACCGACATCATGTCCGATGGCTGATATCAATAGCGTAAGCGCATCAAAAGGCTTAAGAAGCTCAGCGATTGGTGATTTCGGAGCGGAAATACTGGAGGAAGCCGACGGGTAAGGAGGCAGAGTGCCGATTCGGACGAGGAAGTGGAAAAGAGCTTGGAGGACATCGACAACGTGACGGAAGTTGTGGTACTTGACGAATTCGTTGTAGGCGGTACGACTGGCCAAGAGAAAGACGATCATCTCATCTAGAGATCCGTTAGTGGAGAAGAGGGTACTGGCACGTGCTTCACTTACCTTCAGTTATCGCCCACTTCTCCAATTCAGGCATTTGAAGTGCATGCTTCAGCATGACAAAGGCACCATAAAGAAGCTCATCGTCGGTGAAGTCGTGCGCTGAGAAGGCCCAAGTGCCTACCGCAGCTTCAACAATCATTTGGCGATCTTCATCAAGATGGAAATCCCTGCTGTCGTTAGTCGCGAATCTTCGTTTTATCGTGTGCACTTACGTAGATTCGAGTGAATCGCCTACTGTTTCGGGATTACAGATACCAGTCATCAGATTGGACACCATGGCCTCCCGAAGATAGGCGTATGGCTTAGTATCATCGACACCAACCCAAGACAGCTTCCGGTTTCTCTTAGTAGTCAGGAAGCTTGCTTCTTCTCTTGAGAACTCCTTCTGTAACCGATAGGCGTGAACGGCCAAGCCAAGCATGCGATCTCTTGACATGGGACTTGTCAGAACGTCGACGGCACCGGCATCCAGGTATCGAGTCAACCGAACAGTGTCGCCGATCGAAAACGACACCTGCAGACCGGGCGACGGGAGCGGGCCAGCTGAAGAAGGCTCTTCGGTACCTAAACCCGAGAGCATAACGACAGGTACGACGAGTTTAGAGAAGTTGCGCGACGAGATTTCGGAGGATATGTGGGTGAGTAGGTGCATGGCGTAGATGTCGTCGGGTTCGCTGGTGTCTATCCGTGTGAGACGCGATGAGGTAGGCGATGGCGTGCGCGGTTCACGAGACAGGCGCTTCATTCGCTGCTCTTCATCGTACGGTATGTCTATTATGACAAAGGTAGGAATGCTGGATTTAGTGGAGTCGATGAGCTGGTGGATCTTCTGTAGGCAGGCGCGGCCGGTGCTGCAGATGTGTACTGTTGGACGCGTCAGTAATGATATGGGTGCAGATGGCGGACAGACTACCTTCTGAGGAGATGGATAATATCGCTTCAACATTGTCGTGTACCTCACGCGGCGATGTTTTGCCGAGCGCAAAGTAGCTCTGTCCTACATTGCCTGTGGTGGTGGTCCTCGCAACAAGCGACTTGGACAGCGTCTCTTTGCGCACATGCTCATCGTTGGCCCGCCGGTCAATGTAGACAACATTGCACGCGCCATGTTCCATTGTCTCCACCTATGTGCGGCGACCAGACAGCACTGGTCTCCAGCGCAGAGGGGAGGATGTTGCAGAGGAGTCGCAAAATGGGGAAGGTGGTGGATCGCGATGATGCGGCTGAAGGGGGTCGAGTAGAGTCACGGGTGAATGTGAGGCGGAAGCGTGGTGGATGCGATGGCCAATTGCAGGTGTCGAGCGCGGTGGGAATGAACACAGGAGAGCTTCAGACGGTGCGGTGCGTCTAGAAGCGTGGGGGAGCGCAGAGATGGGATCGCGGGAGTGCGCCGGTTGGTCTGAGATGCAGTCTGAAACGACGACGTCTGTGTGAGCTCCAGGGAACCTAGCGATGCGGAGAGAGGCAGCCAGTGCACACAAGACTAACGTGCTGTGTTTATTGTATACGAGGTAGGCGCAACGGGCGGATGCGACAAGGAAGGCGGGTAGCGACGTGGGATGGGAGGTGCGATGGCGGGAGGGCACAGGACGCAGCTGCCTCGCGCGCTCTCTCTCACTCTCACACTCAGCTGCAGGCGGGACGAGGCAGCGGGCGAGACTCGGGATGCACAGCGCACTACGGGCGTCTCTTGCGGATTCGACTGCAGCGTGTTTGAGGAGCGTCCTCGACACGAAGCGCAGTGCTCAGGGCTTGCGGGTGAGGGTCGTGGTGTGGTTTGGTCGCAGACGCAGGGGCTAGTGGTCCTCGGCGTCAGTGTCGCATGAGCGCACTCGCAGTATGGGCTGCAGTCTGAGCAGCATCGGGCGCGGGCAAGATGGTGAGGGTGGATTGAGGGCGAGCTGAGCAAGGACAGAGGTCGGGGATAGGAATCGATTGAGTGTGGTGGAGGAGAGGTGCAGGCGTTGCGTGATTGGGCTACTCGAGACGAAAAGAGGAAGGCGCACTGGTGGGCAATCCCCACTCATGTCGAAACTGACCAGCAGCCGTCGAAGCCTCGAAGCCTTCTGGAAGCTTTTCTATCCGTCCAATGCTCCGCAGCGCCGTCGCACGCCCTGCGACTGCCCACGATTAGGCGGCCGTCTCACCGTGTGCGCGTCCGTCTGGCTCTGCAACGCGACGCTCGCGACGCTGCCAGCCAGACGTTCACGCGCCCGCCCTCCCTCGTGCCCCGGCAGGGCTGCGACGAACCCAGAGAGCCGCTCGGGGAAGCTTGGCTGCAGGACGGCCTCGGTCCTGAAACGCATCCCAGGGCTGGCCCAGTTCCCGCACAGCTGCAAAGATTACATACAGCACGCCTGCCTCTGCTGCCTGCGCTATGACTGGCTAACATCCGCTACTCGTTGTGCGCTGGCACCAGCTCCAACTTTTCCTTTTTGCTATCCTATGCCCGTCTGCCGTCGCCTGCATCGCACGCCTGCACAAAGCGCCCTGCCTCCCCCGCAACATGTCGCCACGCAGCTTCGTCATCTGCCCGAGAGAACCCAGTTCAGAAGTATTCTGGAAGTGGCGACTCGTGAAGCTGCCTGCAGATCCCACAATTCGCCAGTGCCTGCACGCTGTGGGGGGGAACAAAGAGCCCCTGTTCGGTCCGCTTGCGGGCGATTGCTTGCTGATCAACCAATGCTGATCCCCGCCCGCCTGCCCTCGTGTCTTACGACTGCGAGTTGCGGCACACGGCATATGCCGTTACCTTGTCCGACTCTCCATGTCCAAGTCGCTTTCTTTCAGCCGCCTCACCCAGCCATTAACACGATTGCGGCAGGTCGCTGCTCTATGCCGAACCCTCGGGCACGCTACACGTAAGCAGCTTGGTCCGTGACCACCACGCAGCCGTACTCGCTCCATACACTGGAATTAGCAAGGAGCTGCGACTACACTAAGAGGGGCCGCTAATAGGGATAACATCGATGCACCCTCCGCTATTCGCTCTCTAAAGTTCGACCCTGCCTCATAAATACAAGATAAGGCCGTGACAAGGCTGCTGATCTAAGTCTTGGTAAGCACGAATCCGGGGTCAACACCTGTCACGGCAATGAATTGTCCCATGGCAAATCGTGACAAGCTCTCGTCCCGCTGCCTGCGCGATTCAGTCCGATCCCGGCGCCAAGTCCGCAACGCTGTTGCCCTCCAACCAATACTACAATTACTAGTATACTGCGAGCTAGTAGGTGACTGCAAGAAATAGGCTTTGTTTCCATTAGTATACCGCACCACCCTGCAAATCAAGAGATGCGTAGCACCACTCCGATCGTTCGCACTCCAGATCGGCCAACGGCCCTTTAGCCTACAAGCTATCGCTGACTATGTTTGAGGTTTGCAATGTACCCAATTCAGCTGACGCGCTGCAGGGTCGATTGCGCGTTGTAGAGAGTAACCTCCAATCGAACACTCCGGAGTCTTCGTCGCACGCACCAAACACATGGCTCACTACCTTTGCCATGGCGCCGCCTATTTTGCCTCCATGTCTGTCTCATTTAACCCCTACACAGTATACGTGGAGATTGATAGAGCTGAACGGCCTGGAGCCGTCCAGGAGCACAGATGAATCGTGCTCAGCCAGCTACTGTCTACTCATCGGGCCTCAGCGCGAACCCATCCAGGGACATTCCTGCCTGACGCCTCAGAAACACTCGCTAATATAGTCATCATCTCATCTATTGCTCGTATCCAAGACTTCACAATAGGTTCTTGATACCCAAAGACAGGTACCCTGTCGGTTCTCTATATCCATGTCAAGGGTCGGTCCCACGCTCGGAGTTCTCCAGCCTGGCTCTTGACGGACTCTGTGAAGCCCGGAAGCCGAAGTCAATACACTGGGACTTCAGTGATCTAACACTGTAGTCCGTCTTCACGTAGGCACTTGACATGATCGGATGTGGGAGAACTCTAGTGCTATCATCACGGATGCGGGGATGCTTTTCAATGTCGCTCCATGTCGGCACCGCAACTTGCCCGGTATCTGGAGGCTAAACGCTTTGCCGCCAAGAGCTCCGAACGCTTGTTCGTGCTACAATGAGGGAAAACATGCGAATGCTACGTAGCAGCGCAGTCTTCATAGTAGGAGTCAGTACGATAGGTGACGCTGTTAGTTTCAGCTATGAAAACGAGAACGTTGGGAATGGCGGGATAGCATAAGAGTGAAGCGCTTGACATGCGGAGTAACGCTCCGCGGTCACACTAAGTGGAGCAGTGGCCAATTCACATAGCTCCTGAATACCTACCTCAGATGTCATCTACTCATGTTCTTCGAACTCTAGTTCTTGTACTTGGTGCACATGTTTGCGAGTTCTCGACTGGTATAGCTGTAGATCAAGCGACATGATAGCGATGCTTTGATGCTCTAAACAGTTATGATTCGCTCCAAGTATACTGTCCTCCATACATTTTACGCCACGGTAGTACTAACAACATATTCATAGTCCTTCCTCAACGGCACAATGACACCCTGATAGAACCTCTCCCTAAAATCGTCGTTATGGAGACTATATACCGAAGCTTCAAAGTTACAATGTATACACCTCTGCGTCGCATCCGCATAGTTCGGCAACTCCCTCGTTCGTAAGCCCTCTGCCAAACGATCCGCTATGAGATAATCGGTGAAAGCCGTACGGTTGCCACTTGCATCGAGGTCTTCTGAAGTGACAAACGTGTTCAGAGGCTTGCCATACGAGATCTCTAGCAACGCGACACCCAGCGCGAAGATGATGCTGTTCTTAATGATACGCACCCTTTGGTTCTGTATCGGTGACGTAGCTGTAGAAGGAAAGTCACGCGATATATAAGGCTGGTCGGATAGTAAAGATTGGCTTAGGATGCATATGTCATTGAGATCCCATGTTTCTTCTAGCCAGGGTGTGTTATGAAGGTGGTAGACTGCGGAAGCGAGGGTGAGGGCAAGTGTACACTTTTCCTTGATCAGGAAGGTTGTGCCTTGTTTCATCATAACTTCTTGTAATGTGACTCGTTCGTCGGTCGTGTTGGCATTGGGTAGGTGAAGAGTGTGGATGTGATGTTTGGCGAGCTTGCTGCTCATTACCCCTATGCAGTCTGGGCTTGGACAGCGTTGCAATGTCGCGCATAGATCGACGATATCCGGAGCTCTTTTTAAGCATTTCCAGTGGTCGTGTGCTTCGATGTTTGAGTGGACTACAATACTAGGGAGCAGTGAGTCGTGTGATTTCGTCGTATCAGTGACATCAACAGCCTCGATCTCCACTGGGATCGATTTCCAAGGAGCAGTATTTCCGGCTTGTGATGAGCCAAATGTAAACACCAGTTTGAATGTGGAAGGTTTGCCTGCTTCCTCTTCTCTTTGTATGTCAAGTCGCAAATTTGCTTGATGTGTACTTTGGCATACACATCTTGACGACCATCGTGTGTTAAAAGCGTCGTAAAGTTTCTCCGCCTGCTGACGAAACTTTGTCAAGTATTCCGTGTTCGCTCTGCGTCTTCTTTCAACTCGCAATGGCTGAAGCGCAATAGCTCCCGCTGTGAGATTGGCAATGCGGCTAATGTCTTCTTCAATAGACGATAGCAGTTCTTTGTAGTGCTTCGACTTGAACCCTCCTTTAATGCGGATCCATGGATCATTGAAGAACTTGTTTCGTGCCATCACATCGACACAACCTGTTGCTCTAGTCCACGGTGGCTACTAAGTCTTAGTAAATGTTCCTTCTTTGTTGCACTACTTCATACACACCTGGAAGTCCTTGTCTAGTTGCAACTTTCGACCGAAAAGGTTGATCTTCTTGTTTAGTTGCTTGACAGAAGATTTGAAGGGTAGATAGTTGCTTCCCAATCGATTGCGTAAAGCATCGCTAAGCTCTGGGCTCTCCCATGCTGAACTCTCGCGATTCTCGAGAAGCTGAAATAGTTGATCATCAGAGAGAGCTAATGGACTCAAAAGCTCTTCACAAGCATTCCTGTAGATGCAAGCGATAGTTACGAAAGAAGCATGAAGATATCCGAATACTTCCTCGTACTTTTGCATGCTTCTTATGGTTGAGAGCTGGAATGGTATCAGTCATGACGTGTAATGTATTTGCACTTCGTACCCCTTCAGCATAGTGCTCCAAAGCTGATACGACCAATGGAATTGATCCCAGTACTACCCCAGCTATTTCAAATCCGGACATGGCGAGGGAGCTTGTGATACCGCTAATCGACCAGATTGTCGGCTTTGGGAAAATAATGGCGGAATTTATGAGTGATATAGAAGACGCACGACAGAGCCAAAAGGCCCAGATGGTACCAAATTCTTGGTCGCAGGAGAGATGCACAGAGGATGAATGAGACTGCAGAGAGGGTATGTTCTCTCAGCCTGATCGCTAAGCTCGAAGAGCTCTAGTCGCCAGTTGAACCACGTGGTCTCGTGTACGACATTGGTAATCACATCTCAGCCTTCTCATCTTATCGGCGTATTCCTCTTCAATTTCAACAACGAGATGTGACCTTACAAAGATGGATTTGTCTATCTCACAAGCTCATACTACCTGCGTCGCTGCTTTCCTTGCGCTCATCAAAGCATCGCATATCCCTTACACAGAACGTTCGAATGAAGCGCAGGATATTTTCGATAAATACAAACTTTGGGCTGGAAATGTTGGCGCTATACATAGTATGAAAAGATACAAGTTATCTCTGGACTACCGATTGAGGGAAGCGTCTTTCTATAAAAGTCAGGTATTGTTAACTCGTCGCAGCCGATACGCAAAGACTCACGTAATCTTAGATATTGAAGTTGATGCAGGATCTGCAGAGCTGCGTAAGAAACCTAAGTTCCGTTGCCGTCACCTTTCACAGTTATCTCGAATTCAGGACAACAACTGATTGAAAATGCGAAACTTAGTTGAACAAAGGTACAATACACAAATCGAACATACACGTGAAGACGTTACTGACCTGAGGTTTGGAAGCTTTAATAACCTTATACGACGAGTATGAAGTGAATGTCCTCCGCATTACTGAAGACCCCGACCCCGACCCATCAGGTGCAAGTACGGATGAATCTGACTCGGCTGACTCCCCATGGGAAGTCTCCTCTGACTCTGAGGTCGAGAAGCAACCAGAACAAAAGCTGCGTCGACAAGATACAGATCGTAAGAATGGTGGATCCCGATCTCCAGCAAAGCCAGCTCTATTGGACTCGATCAATTTCATTGTTGAATGTCTTTGGAGGTTACCCATTCGACGTCCTGCGCCAGCCGATCGTATGAAGGATAAAAACTTTGCTGATACAACCGGATACTTTCCGTTTGACCTTATGCACGTAAGGGATAAGTTCCCTGACCTCAACGAGACTGTCACTACACGCCTGGCGAAGATGATATCGAGGCGCAGGCAGCTGATGCGGTACCGTAAAGACCACACTGACGCTTTGCAAGAGGAAGAAGCTACAGTGATCGACGTCCCTAGACCTGAACATAACAACCTATCTTCTCATATTAAACTGGATGTGGCAAGCGAGCTGGCGCCCAGTATAAAGGCCCCAAGTCAAAGTACAGAGCTTACAAAAGCGACAACCCTGAAAATCAACGCCTCCATGGCGACACTCTGGCCAACGACTGGAAACTATGCCCAGTCAGTATCCGAGTCTGGATCTTCGATCGTGTCCGAGCAGACTGCAGATGCGATTACGATTAGGTTTCCAGATCGACCTAGGACGAAAGAAGGACAAATTTTGGAACAATACATATGTCCCTACTGTTCCACCGCCCAAAGAACTCCATCGGAACGCAAATGGAAGTAAGTGGATTCAGTGACAGATCGTCAGGATATCGCTGATATATGCGCGTAAGAAAACATGTCTTGTCCGACCTCCAGCCATACGTATGCACCTACCCTGACTGCCAACTAAATGACCACTTCTTCGAGAAGAAAGACGACTGGTACCAACATGAATCACGTGTGCACCGTGTTCAGTGGTTCTGCAACACAGAGACTCATGATCCCTTTATCGATATTGAAGACTTCCTGGACCACATGCACAAGATCCATTCAGAACCTCTCGATAAAGCACAGCTTCTGAGTTTTCGCCGAGGCTTTCAACGACCTTCAGGTGCGCATTCGGGAACCTGCACGTTATGTAATAAAGAGACAAGCAGACTAAAGTCTCATATTGCACGGCATCTAGAACAACTCGCCTTGTTCGCAATTCCCCCAAAGGACTACAGAGATGACTGGAAGGGAGACGATTCCTCGTCGGACAATGCCTCGTCGAACGCCACACGAAGAGACCTGCAGACATTGTCTAGCAGCCACAAACAGAAAGAAAGTTCGGAAGGGCGGTCTGAAGGTTCGGCCCCCAAGTTTGACGACTGGCAAGATGACAGGATGGACGAATCAAACCCACAAGGCACCGAGATCTATGATGGGACAGCATTGGGTTCATTTGATCAACTTGGAGACGAATGGAACTTTATCCCACCTAAATTCGAAGAACCTCGTGTTCGCGATGACATTCCCTCAACAAGGTTCCCACAAGAACGCAACGACTCTGAAGTGACTCGTGGTCGACGAATGGATGAGAAAAGGCCTCGCATACGTAGTGTTGCGCCACACCCCCGACCCCATTCCCCACCCCAACCCAGCACATTGACTAAAGGGAACTCGCTGCGAAAGAACTATTTACCAAAGAACCTGTTACCAAAGAATCTGCTCCCAAAACGGGATCAACGGAAGTAAGCATTTGTTTCATTGCCACGGCGTTGCCGAGAAAGTCATGATCGAATCTACGACCGTATCAACCGTGTACAAACTACTCAAAAAAATATATCTATCTTGAGGATTTAATGAAGCTCTGCTTGATGTCGTTCTGTCACTGAACCTGAGCATAAACGCTCACCCCAACATAAAGATACTTTACATCTTAGAAACAAGAGTGAACACCGACTTATTGAGAAACAACATCTCCACATCTTCCACAAACATCCTCATGCTCCTCTTTAACAAAGCGCCAACACCTTGGACACTTTTCCCTGCTGGGTGGATGAACAAGCACCTTCGCTTTACCTAACATCCCACTATCGCTTGAAAGTACTTCTTCTTCAGACCACTGCGATTGCTGCTTTATCATATCGGGATCCTCAGCTGTGAAGACGCTGTTCACAGGAGCGGATGAATCAGACAGCGTGCGAAGATTAACTTCGCTTATGACGAACAGGCCAGCAAGTTGGGTCTCGACGTCCATTGGCTTGGGAGTGGAGGGTTGTAAACACGCTGCGAACTCTGCGTGCAGTTTCTCGGCATTGGAGGCTGGTAGATAGACCGTAGCTGCGCTTTCCAAACTCGAACCGATCTTCTTATCCGCGCGGAGACGCTCCTGAGCGACCTTAATAGCAGCTCCCAACGTACTTGTAGTCTCATTCATGGAATCCAGACATGCCGATTCAGACTCCTTGAGCGCGGGGAGAGGCGACCAAACTGCGCGTGCGGGGTGACTACTCTTTTCCTTGAGTTCAGCAGGAAGGTGATCCCAGACCTCTTCTACAAGCAGCGGACAAACTGGGGCAAGCATCTGCAGAAGTTCGTAGAAAATGAGCCCCAAAACACGCTGGAGCGTTTCGCAATCATTCTTATCGCTAGTGTAGACGCGGTCTTTGAGTGTCTCGAAATAGAATGCACTTAGGTCCATGGAGATGTACTTGTTGATCGCGTTGACACCCTTGAAGAACTCGTATTTGCCAAAGTGGTTGTGCACTTCCGCACTGACCTGTACAAGTCGGTGAATGGCGAGGCGATCTGTGAGTTCTTTGAACTCGGTGATACTGGGTGTGAGGTCGTTGAAGGAAGTGAAGGGCGGTGGGCAAGATGGCAGAGAGAAGATGCCTAGCAACCATTTGAAGGTAACACGGTACTTATGTAAAGCTTGGTTTACGGACATCAAGACGGGCTGGCCAATTGTGACATCGCGCGTGTAGTCACTGCTTGCGGCCCAGAGGCGAAGTGCGTCGGCACCCATAGCATCATATGTTGGCGTGTTCTTTGTTGCGGGATCTTGCTTGACGCCCTTTTGCTTCTTCCGCTTGACGGGTGGAAGGAGCTCGCCTGACATGATTTGCATTGGAGAGATGACGTTGCCAAGAGACTTGCTCATCTTGCGACCATCGGAGTCGAGTGTGAAGCCGTGAGTGATCAGAGTCTTGTATGGTGCTTTGACAGTCTCGGTCGAGTAAGACTGGGTAGCGACGTGAGTAAGCAGTGACGACTGGAACCATCCACGATGTTGATCGGTACCTTCGAGGTACACATCGGCAACAGGCTTGTACTTTTGCTCCGGAAGAAGCTTCCAACTGGTACCGCTATCGAACCAGACATCCATGGTATCTCTACCACGCACGTACGTTCCGGTAAGATGATTCGGCTTCCAAGCTGGATCATCTTGTGCATCCGTCCACCACGCGTTGATGCCACGCTCTTTGATCACTTCAATAACATGGTCGATGGTTTCCGAGTCCATAGTCGCTTTCAGAGTATCGCCCTCGACCTTGTATAGAGCGGGAATAGGGACGCCCCAAGCGCGCTGTCGTGAGATACACCATTGGCTTCGTCCCTGGATAAAGCTCTCAAGACGACTTCTACCAGTCGCAGGCATGAAGTTGACATTGGCGATCGCTTTCATCGAGGCATCCTTGATACCCTCTACGTTCGCAAACCACTGCTCAGTAGCTCGCGTGATGACAGGCTCCTTGGTCCTCCAGTCGATGGGGTACTTGTGGCGGTAATTCTGCTTGCCTCGGAGCATGTCGAGCTTCTGGAGATAGTTGCACACAGCATTGCTACCCGATTTCTTGATATCAGCGACAGGCAGTCCTTCTAGAAGTTCGGGCTGTTCCGGGAAAGCGTCCTTTGTAAAAGCACCAGCATCATCTATAGGCGCAAAAGCTGGAACGTTGAGCGACATGCAAACGTTGTAATCGTCCATACCGTGTCCAGGAGCGAGATGAACCAGCCCAGTACCAGAAGAGTCGGTGACAAAGTCCGCATGAATGATAGGCTGCAGTCCGTTTGCTTTCTGGAAAGGATTCTCGTACTGCACCTGTTCGGCAATGTCTGATCCGCGCACGTCTGATACGACGATTTCAAGCTTTCTTTCAAGGATTTTCTCGTATTCCGCTACTCGTGAAGCCGCAACAAGAATTAGCTCGCCATCTTTCTCAGCGTCCTTGACTACACAGTACTTCATGTCCTTGTGCACCGCGATCGCCTTGTTCGCAGGTAAAGTCCAGGGTGTGGTTGTCCAGATGACTACGCTGACCTTGCCATCAACATCCCTTAGCGCTCCGTTCTTCAGTGTCTCCGATAAGTGTATAGGATACCGCACAAAAGCAGCCAAGCTCTTATGCCCCTCGTCATATTCCAATTCAGCTTCCGCAAGCGCTGTCCTTGAGCTTGGGCTCCAGTATACGGGTTTGAACTGCCTGTAGATCAAGCCTTTCTCGAACATTGCCTTGAAGACCTCCAGTTGTCTAATCTCGAAACCACGCTCCATTGTCTGATAAGCATTGTCCCAGTCACCCATGACGGCCCATTCTTTGAAACCCTTCTTCTGCTCCTCGATTGTCCGGGTTGCCAATTCGCGCGCCGCATCCCGCACGCTTACAGGATCTGCTTGCGCCGCATCCTTCTTTTGCGCCTGGAGAGCCTTGATCTCAATAGGCAGACCATGGCAGTCCCAGCCAGGAATGTACGACACCTTCTTCCCTTGTCCAACCTCGTGCCTACAAATGATGTCCTTGGTGATCTTATTCAATGCATGTCCAATGTGCAACGGGCCATTGGCGTATGGCGGTCCATCATGCAGAGTAAAACTCTCTCTCGGCGCACTGCCTTCTGTCTCGACGTTCTGTCCATTCAACCGCTTCTCCAAATGTCCATAACGTATAACGCGTTCCGGGCTCGCCTGCCACGCATACAGGTCATCGGTGCATCGTTTCAGGTAGGTTGGGTTCGTTGACGCTAACGGTCGCGGCGGAAAACTAGATTTTGGTAGCCGGAGGGTGTTGGACCATGATGCGCGGAGGATGCGTGTTGGGGTTAGCATAATAGCATCCTGGGCGGGCAAATCGGCGGGGAAGTGGTGGTTGGAGTTCCAATATTTTTGGATCGACTACTCATTTGGTGATGGCTCGGCTCGGTTCGGCGATAGCGCGGAGATAGAGTCCAATGCTGCGGGAATTCACGATACCGCAGTAGGATAATGTTGACTATACAGACTCTTTAAGTAATACGAAGGCATACATATCATCTATATTTGAAGTCTTTAAAGACTTGATTGTCAAGATTGGTTCAGATCGACTGATGTAGTAATAGCAACCCATGATGACCATACTGTGTATCAATCTGATACTCGTGCTACATATCCAGCACTTATGCCTCGAGCAGACTGGTTTGTGTGCGTAACCTCGCCACACTACGTGCTATGACAAGCCGTCTCAGTATACGGTCAACGAGCTCACAGCTCCGTTCTTCAACACTTCGAATACCATGCCCGGAAAGCCGAACAGCTCTACATTTCCAACATCCGCAGCACCCTCCATCAAGACACTGCCAGCATTCGCAAACTTGCTCTTCTTCCCAGAGCTATCCTCCCACCCTCCAAGTAGCTCGCAGCTGCTACCTGGGCTGTCACCCCAGCCTCTGTTCAGGGCCATGCCACGTTGCTGTAGTCTCTCCTGCTCTTCATTCTCGTAATATGGCTTGAAGACTTCCTTTAATCTGCCTGATATGTCTCCGAAGCCCATTTCGGAACTGAGAGGATCACGGTACATGGCTGAGGGCACATGCTCGAGCGTCCATCTGCTTCGTCTATGCCGATTAAACTGATACGAACCAGGCACGTTACCATGGAATATGATCTTGGTTGCAGTAAGATGGTTCAGAGGTTGCGCACTGAGCTCGCCTTGGCTGTGCAGCTCCGATTCCCGTCGCTCCGCAGTAGGAGAGGGTGGAGAGATCTGAGTAGGCTGTGAAATCAAGATGTCAAAGCCATGGTGATAGTAGTTGTAGAAGTGCTCGGCCGCTGCAACTTCTCGCTCCTGAGCCTCTAGTGCGGCTTCGTCATCATCCTCCCATGCATCTTCGTTATCGCTTCTGATCACAGAGCCGTGGTCTGAGTCATCGTCTGGAGTAAGCCCACCGGGCGAGAGATCTGATGCGTCGCTCGTCCTTCGATCTTTATGTATGGATAGCCGATGGTCGTTCTTACGATAAATGGAATCAGGGGCGCCAAGCTCCATGATCAAGTCCTGTGGTGTTGTTTCGCTAAGAGTAATCCAGAACGGAGGACTAGACCGCCGGACAAGCTCTATCCTACCTTCTCCGTGTATTTTGACCGTTTCAATCTCGTCTGGACCACTATCCTTTGCTTTGCCCAGGGCTAGCGATCTCGGATTCGGCGGGGTCGCCGTGAACAGTGTTCCACGAGCTTTCTGCCACGATTCACCATTGAATACTGCCATGGAAGTCGCGGGGCCTGTAGCCGAGGAGGACAAGAGCGAGATGAAGTCCTTCTTCGGAGAGTACGCAGAGTGCTGAACCGAAAAGTTGAAAGCTATTCCCGGATACGACAGGTTGTAGGTGCCTCTGGCGTTTGGGTCTTCTGACTTCGGGGGTATGTACTCTCCGCCATACGTCGGTCCCAGAAGCTTGTCGTAAACATGCCGGAACCTCGGGCCTGATACGCC